AATATATATATATATTGTGTGTTTTATATATATAATATATATATATATATATATATATATATATATATAATATACTGTACGACTACTGAGTATTTGACTGCTTAAAATTTCAATTAACCTGCTTAATTTTAACTACTGTTAACAAAGTGGTAATCTCTAGTTTTAGTCATTGGTTTTGTGGGCTAATGGAAGTGATATTGATGCAACAGATGGCTTTCCTGAGACGTTCTAGGAAACTGCTTTTCTATTCTCCATTACTCAAGCTCCTAATGACTGGGGTGTGGAGCTATTTGTGTTCCCATGCAGGAACAGCAAGGGTAATATGATTAAAATGGAGACGTGATTCATATATTAGCAGGGATAATTTGTTATTTGAATGCAAGCAGTCACCACAGGCTGTCAAGCTTTTTTAAAGCATCTTTTTAATGACATCATTCAATGACTTTTACCAGGACTAAACAAAGGTGGCCATAGATGTCTGTTTTTCCATTTTGCAATATGCATTATCACCAATCAGCAGTTTCCTGTTGTGAAATGTCATTCACACTTGTTTAAAGAATGGAGTCGATGTGGTCACCAGAGACTACTGACTTGTGCTGGTTTGACTGAGATCATGCTGGGTGGGAATTGAATGCTTGTTTAAAACCAAAAACTGGGACCAAATGGCTGGATTAGTTGCAAGACTTTTGATTATGAGCTTCCAGGAACAATGTAATCATAGTGTTCAATTCATAACATATTGGAGATGCAAGGGCTGCATCTTTAACAGAATAGAACATGTTCTTCCAGACTGTGATTGTACAGTCATGACATATACCTCACCCTATAAGTCCAGCCACTCTCATTGCCTCGGATCACTCCTAAGGCCATTTGTTTTAGAATCGTCCGTTGCTATGACAACTATCTCCCTCTGAGCTGTAGTCATGGACACAAAGGGTCCTTGATGATCCCCAAGGGAGGACTCAGAATCAGGCCTGCACAAAGATATCCTGCGCAGAATATTTACCTCTGTAGTTGGAAAACAACCAGATTAGAACAGGATGTTGCAAAAAATATTACACAATATTGGGCAATAATGTGATTGCACATTCATTAAGAAGTGGATTCAGTCACAGTGTCAGATATGCACAACAAATTTGAGTGCTGGATTGTAAGATGTTTTTTACTGTTGTTTTTCAGCTCATGTCGAATTGTTCTATTTTTTAGCCTACAGTATAGCCTATGATTTATTTGTCTGCTTTTATTTATTATCAGGCCATGTTGGTCAAGAAACCCTGCTTCTTGTCATATTTTAGCAGTGTATGAATTAATATCCCAGAAGTATTGCTATGCAAAAGTTTGTTCCCTCTTCCAAATGTGGTATATTTGCAGCAGTTGGCACTTGTTTGAATAATAGGTTAGCATGAATTTGTAAGTAAAATGTGGCGTAAAGACTTCTTAAGCGTCTGTAATCATACTGTAAACATTCATGCAAACACATAATGTTTCGTAAACATCATACAGCTTAAATAACCCTAGTCTTTCTGATGCAGCTGGTTGACCAACAAAGTTTTGTTTGTGAAGATGCTAACATAGCCTGCAGCTTAAACAGTATAACATGGTGCTTGCAAAGCCAAGGTTATGGGTTCGATTTCAAACGGATTTATAAATTGAAAAAATTGCATACAGTCCCTGGAATAAATTAGCGGTTTTCGATAAAATTGGATAAAATGCACTACCCTTTAAAAGTTTGGGGTCACTACGATTTTATGTTATTTATTTATTTTTGGAAGAAATTTTTATTCTGTGAGGATGCATTGAATTGGTTAAAAATTACAGTAAAAACTTTACCGTTGTAACTAAATATTTCTATTTCAAATCAGTTCTGTTATTTTCAACTTTCTATTCCCGTTTTGCAGACTGAAATCTGAGTTCAAAACCTTATTTTTAGAAACATTTGGACTTGACCTGGAGTCTCAAATGAGCTGGTGTCGACTAATCATAAAAAATATGGTCTTGGCCTCGACTTGAGTCAAAGTCTGGAATGTACGAACTCAACGCTGTTCTATGTGTCAAAAAATCCTGGCAAAAAATTGTATCATCACGGTGCCCAGAAAAAAAAATATGAACTGTTTTTAACATTGATAATAATAGGAAATGTTTCTTGAGCACCAAATCAGAATATTCGAATGATTTCTGAAGGACCATGTGACACTGAAGACTGGCGTAATAATGACAATTCAGCTTTGCTGTCACAGGAATAAATTAATTAATTAATTTAATATATTCAAATAGTAAATTGTTGTTTTTACTGTATTTCTGGTCAAATAAATGCAGCCTTGGCGAGCATAAGTGTCTTCTTTTAAAAACATTAACACCCAAAATGTTTGAACAAATAATGTAAATGGTAACATATGTTGACATTTTCAACAGGGAATGTGTCAGTACTACTATTAAGGCTTAACAAACTCATATTTTCCAGTGTCAATGAATGCAATGTCGAGAAAGGCACAAATTCTCACACCATGGCCGAGAACCACGCTTCACCTACTCAAACTGACACCACTACAAACTACAGGCCACCCTCCTCAGAAACGTCCCGATCCACCTTCACCCTGGCAGGCCAGCTCTCCAGTGAGTCCAGACTCAACTCTCAATTTATACAGAATAGAATGACTGCTTGAATTTCGCCTAATGGCGCTCCCATTTTGCAGGTCTGAACGCCCAACGGCCAAGCTCCCCCATGGTGGATGTAAAGCCAATTGAATTTTGGGCTATGGGACCCCGGAAGGAAGTGGTGCAGCCCCTGCGCAAGCCCCCGACACCGCCAGATGACTACTTCCGCAAACTGGAGCCCCGTCTGTATTCTCTAGACTCCTGCAGCGATGATGTTGACTCTCTGACGGATGAGGAGATCCTGGGGCGCTACCAACTGGGCATGCTGCACTTCAGCACACAGTACGATCTCATCAACGCTCACCTCACCGTGCGAGTCATCGAGGCCCGGGACCTGCCCCCTCCCGTAACATGCGATGGTGCTCGCCAAGACATGGCCCACTCCAACCCCTACGTGAAGATGAGCCTACTGCCTGACCACAAGAACTCCAGGCAGACCGGCGTTAAACGCAAGACCCAGAACCCAGTTTTTGAAGAGCGCTTCACTTTTGAGGTCCCCTTCCTGGAGGCGCAGAGACGCACCCTACTGTTCTCCGTGGTCGACTTTGACAAGTTTTCACGGCACTGCGTCATCGGGAAAGTGTCTCTTCCTCTTAGTGAGGTTGATCTAGTGAAGGGAGGACACTGGTGGAAGGCCCTGGTGCCCAGCTCTCAGGTAATACCACTTGCCTGAGTCACATTATTTCTTTTTCAGTCATTTTAGGTGTGGCGCTTGCACAATAACTGAGAAGTTAGGTCACACAGAATTAAATTAAGCAATTTAGTAAAATGTGAAATCATTGTAGCCATACTTCAGAATATCCTGCCTTATAAGTATGCACACCATAGTACTCCTAAATATTTCTTGCCCTAGCTCTGTGTTTAGGATGTGTTATATGCACAGTCATGCTCAACCACATATTAACCTACACTATTGTTCAAATTGTGGGGGGTCAATATGATTTTTTTTAAGTTTAAAAGAAGTCTCTTCTGCCCACAAAGGCTGTGTTTACTTGATCACAAATACAGTAAAAACAGTAATATTGTGAAATATTATTACAATTTAAAATGACTGCTTTCTATTTTTATATATATTTTAAAATGTAATTTGTGACTCT